TGCCTCAGCCTCCCACACCCGGCCCTGGAGGTTTTGATGTGTGACTCTGGGACCTTATCACTTATCATTCAGAGGAAGGGCTTCTGGTGTCAGAAACAAGCCTGACGTGTGGTGAGGAGTGAAGCGATGGGTTGGGACCATCATGGACATCGGAAACACTGGTCGAGTGGGACATTCTCTGAGCCAGGTACACAGACATGAGGGAGGCCTCCGCCTGAGGAGGACACAGTAGGCTGTGCGCCACAACCTGCATCTGTAAGGCTTCCTAGAGGAGGGGACTTCCAAGGGTCTTGAGGGTGCACAGGAGTTTGCTCAGATGGCAAAGTTTGCAGGAAATTGGGAAACATTCCAGGAAGGAAAACTATCAGATATGGCATTGGTGAGGTGCTAGGGATTACGGAGCATTTAGGACAACTTGTGGCAGCTCAGTGTAGGCTGACTGGACGGGGAGGGAGGACAGCGAGGAGGGTGAGGTGTGGAACCAGAAAAAAGAGCAGGGTTAGGTCCTTGCGTGGAAGTGCACAGGCAGCGGGATCTTCCTGCCTCCCCAGCAGAGTCCCCCGCTGCTCTTCTCTCTGTGGGCTCCTACTCTGCCCACAGAGCATCTCTGCACCCGGCACCATGGCCAGCATGGTGCTCTCTGTCCCTGCTCCAGCTGGGGTCGCTGGCCATGGCAAGCGGGCAAGTCTCTGTAGACGGGCATGTCTCCTCCCTCCGAGGCACAGGAGGGGACTTCCGCAGGCCGCGCCGCACCTCCCTGGAGGGAGAGTGCAGCGTGGCGCAGGCCCAGTGGCAGGTGGCAGAAACAAAAGCCCAGTCTCGCTGGCGCGCCCAGAGGACAGAGCGCTGGCCTCCACAGGAGGAGAGACTGTGAGGAGGGAGGTTGGGGACGCCTGCCACATTCCTCCAAGAAGAATGTTGGCCCCCCGGGGGCCAGGTCTGGGCAGGAGACTGGGCACACTGCGGCCATTCACAGAGACCCAGGTGGCGCAGAGAGGGGTGCCCTGTTCACCCGCAAGTGCCCACAAGGGCCAGTTGTCTGCTCCCACCCTGGCCAGGCCCCAGCAGCAGAAACTGCACGTCGCCTGGCTGTGCTGGCCTTGCTCGTGGGCCAGGGTCAGGGACTGGCCAAACCAGGCACGTCCAGAGCTCTGCCTGAGACGCAGTGACAGGAAGGGCAGGGGTAGTGGCAACCTGGACAGAGGACACCCGTGGCCTCTGCCTCCACCTCGCAGCTAGCTCAGTGTGGGGACGCCTGCAGGGGGCGGGACAGAGGCTGGTGGCCAGGCCATGGTCCCCTCCCCCGCTGCCCCGGGCCTGCCCGGGGCACCGCTGCTCCGCCCAGGGCCCAGCCCTGCTCTGCGCCCATGAAAGGCCCCATTCACAGCGCCGGCTTGGGTTACGATCCTCACTGTTTTCCTTTCATGAGAAGGAGCAGGCCTGCAGGTCCTGCAGTGGAGCCCCGCAGCAGCTGGCTGGGGATTCGCCTGCCCCCGAGAGTGGAGTCACAGGCACTGGGCAGCCACTGCAGGCAGGGAAACTGAGGCCAGGTGGGCACAGGCAGCAGAGCTGGGGTCAGGGCCGGGCTCGGTCTCCACCTCGGGGTTGGCAGGGGCCCCTCTGGGGAGGGACCTGCACTCCAGCCCCAGGAGCAGGCATGGGGACTTCTGGGAAGAGGGGGTGACCAAGGAGTCCGCAGAGCAGGGCACAAGTCAGTCCTGCACGCCCAGACCTTGCAGCCTGGGCCCTTCCCTCCTTCCTTCCTCCTCCCTCCCCTCTCCTCTCCCCTCTCCGCCCCCTTCCTCCACTCCTCCCTCCCTCCCCTGGGGCCTGAGCTCAGCATGGGCAGAGCCCAGCAGGGCCTGTGTTAGACGAGGTACCACATCCCCTTCGAGGCACGGAAAGCCCCCTTCCAATCCTCCCAGCTCACAGACAGGCCACTCACAAGAGGGGCAGAAACTGTCTCCCTCAGGATGGCTGAGTCACACACCGCTGCCACTGCCACCACCGCTGGCTGTCTGGAAAGAATCCTTGGACAGCTCAGGGCTCCAGCCACTCACTCCCTCCCTCACTGCTCCTCCCTCCCCTCCTCCCTCCCCTCTCCCCTCCCCCACCCCCTCCAGTGCCACACGAAGT